CGATTCTGTCGTTATTTATTTATTTTATTTCATTTCAATTTTTTTTTTTTTTTTTTTTTTTTTTTTTAACGAAAAAATATATCGATCTTTTTAAATATTCTTTTTTCTAGACTTTTTCTAAGAAAGCTTTCCGTTCTTATTCTCTTTTTCTTTTCTTTTTCGAAGTTGAAAAGACCTTTAACTCGAACTCGACTGAACTTACTACTCTTTTACTTTCCTTTGACTACTACATCATTTCGTTATTTTACTTCATCGACTCGTTCCGTTTATTCGATTTTATCTTATAGGTCGATAGGTCGATTTCAGTTTAACGATTAGATTTTGGATCCATGAAAATCGTTAAATCGTTTCTTAGTTATTTCTTTTCGTACATTATTATTATTTTTTTTTTTGTTAACATTATTTTATATATATATATTATTTTTGTTAGTTTTTAATTATTATTAATACTATGTTAACTTTATAAAGTAAAAATCTAATTCGATCTAATTTCTTTTTTTCTTTTTTTTTCTTTTATTTATTTTCTAACCTTCACCAGGGATTCGTTCCTTTTGTTTTTCTTATTCCTTTGACAATTCCAGTCTTTAAATTTAATCTATATTAGAAAATCCTATGTGATTTAGTTTGCAATTAACGACTTTGATAACTCTCACGGTTTTTTTCCTAAGATCCTCTTAATGTAATAGAATTTTAATCGGTTTATCACTTCAGAAATTTTACAGCTTTTGCGGTAGTCAATTAAAACGATAGGGATTAGAATGTATGATTGGAATTTTAACGAGCAAAAAATTAAACTACAATACAATTGTGTCTAGTTGTTCTTTTTATTTTTTTTATCTTTTCTTTTTCTTCTTCTTTTTTTTTTTTTTATATGTTAATATCTTGAAACGTTTTAAAATAAAAAAAAATATTCATCTCGTTTAACTTCCGTAACATTTATTCTTGAAGATTTTGAAGACTCAATCGAAGTCGTATATCAAAAGATCACCGAACATAAATCCCTACCTACGAACGTAGATATGTATGTGTATATATATGTATGTATGTGTATATGTATATATGTATGTACGTTGATGTTAACGTTTGAAGAAATTCGCTTTCCGGTTGAACGAAGTTGGGTCTAACGATATTCGTCAAAGAGAAATGGGTTGGATATCTGTTCGAAGATTACACTGCTGGCTAACACGTGAATCGACTCAACGAACGATCGATTTCTTTGATTAAAGTTTTTACTCAAATACTTCGAATCTCTTTTTTTTTTTTTTAATTGAAACATTTTTGTTTAAATCTTTTTTTCTATTCTTGATTAATTTTATTTCAAGAAAATAGTGTATTATTATATACGATGTTTTTAAAAAGAAAAAAATATAATAAAAAAACGAATTTTGTTCTCAGATTTGTAAAACGTCATGTAACTTTGAAGTTCATATTATATATACATATATATATATATACATTTGCATTTTTGAAGTATGATTATATTTTATTGCTAGAAAATTAATTGTTACTTCATATCCCAAGTTTATAATTTTTTTTTTTTTTAATTTTTAAAAAATTGTTTTAAGTAATAAGTAATACTTAATACGATTTAATTGTTATTAGTACGGGTTATATTATTTTTTTTTCTCTTTTTTTTTTTTTTTGTAAACGCGAAACAATAAATTTTGTACCTTTGATTTATAGACGGTTATTAATGGCTTGTTATTTCTTTTTTTCTTTTTTTTTCTTTTTCCATTTTATTTTATTTCTTTATCTACATACGGAATTCATGATGAAAACAACGCGATGGATCTCTCTCATTTCTGGACCAAGTTCAACGAAAGAGTCACAAAAGAGGATAAGAAACATCAACGTGTTTTTCGTTTCTTGGCATAGAGCCAAGACACCTTCGAGAAATCATCCTGTTGATTTTTTTCTTTTTCTTCAACAAAACAAAAGAAGTGAAGATCCTGTATCTAGCTTTTCATTCGCGTAGGTGGAAAATGTCTATTGTGATTGCATGCCTCGTCATCACGTTTTGAAATGAGAAAGAGAGAGAGAGAGAGAGAGAGAGAGAGAGAGAGAGAGAGAGAGAGAGAGAGAGAGAGAGATACAAGACGAACAAAGTCGTATTATTTCTTACGATTTATATTCTTAATATGCTGATTCTTAATGAATCATTCTTCGCGAGATTAGAATCATCAGATTAGATAATGCAAATGTGAAATGACAGTACAATGAAATTTATACGAATATTATACGTTGGAATTATATTTTTATTTGGTATAATTTTTTTTTTTCAAAATATTGGAAAATAAATTATATTAAAAATTGTACTACCCATTGAAGGATAAAGCATCTGAGTATTTATGTATATCAGTATTAAAAAGTTGAATAGTCTCAAACAATGAGATTACAATCGATCATGTTTGTTTTTTTTTTTTTTTTATTCTTGATTATCTATGTTAATCTATACTTTCATATGTTATATCACTCTAGTAATCGAAAAATAGATTAAAAAATATTTTTTGGATATAGATTATTCTTCTTTATTAACCGCGAACAACGAAATTTGCTTTATTTCGTGGATACCTTTCATTGATTTCTTCGTATACAATTTTAAACAGGTTAACGTCACTCGAACTCGGTTGTACTTGGGAAGATTAAATATTCATTTTATCCGCTCGGTTGCTTCTTCTCTCGATAGAAAAACTTTTTCATTAAATTAATATGAAAATCGAATTAGTGCTCGTAGGCGAGCTCGTTTTATCAAATTCGTTTTAATTATTTATTTGTATATTTTCCTTCTTTTTTCTTTTCTTTTTCTTTTTCTTCCTTAAAGAATATATTCGCGTTTGTTCAATCCATCTTTTGATGATTATTAATTAGGAGAAATTTTTCGTGGGGAAAATTTTTTTAATAGATGGATTATCATTTAGATTTGTAAAAGTATTAAAATTAATTCCTTGAGAAAGATTGATACCAATTATTCTTATTTTTTTTTTTATATCTAAATCTGATTACATATCGAAGGATCTTATAAATCTCATTTGTAATATAATTATCCTACAGATTTTTTTTTTTTTTTTTTTTATTTAAAAATTCTTTGAAAAAGAAAAATTACTAATCTGAATACTTGCTGATTATGAAGGCCTATATTATGTGTATTAAAATTATACTCTAATACGTCAAGTAAATAATTTTTGTTAATTTAATTCATAAATATTATTCATAATCGTTTAATGAATTAAAGATTTCAATGAGAATAAATTCAAACAGAATAATTATAAGAAAAGACGGAGTAAATTATTTCATGCTTTTACGTACTGCATATTCGATACGTTTATTTGTCTGTTCGATATTCATCAGATTTACGTCAATCTGATTTGTTCCTGAAGTTTTTCACATCCGTCAGATCGAATCGGTGCCAAGAATGCGAAAGAAAAAAAAATGAAATACTGAATATCACAGTATGAATATTAAAATAATTTTATGCTAATATTTCGTCGATTGAGATAATCGATGCAAATATTCCAAAAAAAAGAAAAAAATAAAATATAATTTACGTGCTTGAAAATTGAACAAACAATTATAAAGTATTTTCAAAAAAAATATATATACACACATACACACACACACACACACACACATATATATATATATATAAATGTTACTTCGATTGTTTCAATTATTTCACATTATGACCAAAATCTATACGATATCTATCAAAAATAAAGAAATAATTATATAATCTTTTACTTCTTTATACATTTCTATTTTAAAGAAAAAATTTTATTAAGAATTTTATTCTATTCGAAAGTTTATTCCTACATTTATTACGTAGGTACATTTAAATTATATATCTACTTTTTTTTAAAAAATTGATTAATTAATTAAAGATCAGTTTCGAAAATAGAAATATTTCTTTAATCATTTCGAAATTCATTATGATATAATCTATATATCGGAAGATCTATATTTCGGAAGAAAAGAAAATAAAAAAGAAAAGAAAAGAAAAGAAAAGAAAAGAAAAGAAAAGATAAGGAATAAATAAATAATCAAGAGTATTTTCTAAAGCATTAGCGAATCTTCTTGAATAATTTCAAATCTTGTACGAGGTTAACACTATCGATCGTGGTGTGTTTTGCAAAATCGAACCATCTTCTTAGCCAAGTATCAGCCCCGATGGCATAAACCGATAATACCAGGGCGTAATTTACAACGTAAGTACCGTGTCTTGTTACATGAGAGAGAATAAGAAAGAGAGAGAGAGAGAGAGAGAGAGAGAGAGAGAGAGAGAGTGAGAGAGAGAGAGTGAGAGAGTGAGAGAAAGAGACAGACTTGGTGAGGTTGTGTGCGTCCTTGAAAGGAGCTTGATGTATAAGTAACAACACCTTCTGGCAATGTGTTTCACTTGTAAATAACTTAACCACAACGACGACGACGACGACGACGACGACGACGACGACGACGACGACGACGACATCGAGGACGTCGAGAGTGGAACGTTTTACCAGATAATTTGCCAAGAAGAGAATCTAAAACCGATCATTTCTATATTCATTCGAGGATAACTCCATCTTTTTCTTGCGTGGGTATCCTCGTAAATAATTATTTGATCCTTCTCTCATTTTTTGTTTTTTTTTATGTAGAAAAAGAAAAAAACAAAAAGAAGAAGAAGAATGAATGAATAAGTACACGAGTATATTATACATATGTCCGGGTATATAAAATACGAGTATATAAAATAATAAAAATTATTTTATATTATACGTTTGTACATCAATATAACGAAATGTTATATAATAGAATAGAATTTTGCAGATAAATGTATGAGTGCTATTAACTACGTAAATGTTTGTGTATTTGTGTGTATGTACGAGAGGACATAGTCTAGGTCATAATTTATGTTATAACGTTTATAGAATCGATCATACGAATTAGTAAACATTCCTATTTGTTGTTTCCTTTGTTCTTATAACAGAGAAAAGGTCCTATCTTCAGTTCGGTTTAAACTATCGTCTCGTCAACACGTACATATATCATTTGTCTTTAAATATAAAAGTTATAGGTTTGTTCGATGGTATATGTGTTTAATAAATTTCGATAATATAATCGTTTTATTCATTTCTTGATGTATTTCGATAAATTCAGAAAAAATATTTTAAGTATAAATTGGAATAAATCCAAAGAAAAAGTTCGAAGCTTCAGTTCGTTTTGGATACTCGTTTCGTTAACGCGTATATAATTTATCGTCTTCAAATATAAAAGTTGTAGAACTGTTCGATGCGAGTACGTGTATATATTTGTGCGTGTACGTGTACGTGTACGTGTACGTGTACGTGTATGTGTACGTGTATGTGTACGTGTACGTGTATGTGTATGTGTACGTGTATGTGTATGTGTACGTGTACATGTGTGTGTGTGTGTGTGTTTTATTTTTGTTATAAATTTCGATAATACAGCCTTTCTATCAATTTCGTAAAGATTAATAAAATATATTAAAATATTAATCTTGTTTGACGCATTATGGATATTAATTAATTTTGATTGAACAATAAAAAAAAAAAAGATAGACGAAAGGGAAATAGTAAAAAATTAATTATCTTGCGGCATTATAATGTGTAAATTGTTGATTGAATTTATAATTACCCATTGGTGTGTTTATAAGCGTGTGTGTATTAAAACGAGAGAGAGAGAGAGAGAGAGAGAGAGAGAGAGAGAGAGAGAAGATAATTTACATATTTCGTTATAAATAATGCCAAATAATGCCAAGAGACGTATGACTGAAACGACGTAGTCTTGTGTATAAGTTAATCTAACCTTAATAAGGGTTTAACTTTATCCTGGGGGATCCTTGTTAGGTACTTTTCTTAAATGAAAATAGGAAGGAGAATGTGAGATGAGTGGTACGTCAGTATACGTGCATTAAATTCCGTCTCGTTTTAATAAACTCATATGAGCACGTTACAAATTGTATCACCGACATTTTGACGAAATTAGTCTTAAACCATTGAACTTGTTAAGCATGCTTTATTAACATTAGTTATAACATATATATATATATATATATATATATATATATATATATATATCGATAGATTCGTTAGAAATTAAATTAAATATGTATTTTGTATACTGATTTTATGATAAAAAATTTAAATCATAAATTTGAATCTGTCGATATCGATTAGTTTTATTAAAAATTAAATTATATATTTATGATTATTCTAAAGAAAACAAAACAAAACAAAAAAAATTGTATTCTAAATTTCCAAAATTCATCGATATATCGATAAATTATGTTAGAAATTAAATGAAATATTTATAATGAAAAAGATTTTTCAAATTTTAAAAGTCAATCGTTTTAAACAGTTGTTGAAAAGTGCAACTTAATTTTCACGACCCGATAAAACTCGATTGGTAGAAGAGGAAAGTTCTTTTTTACGATGTTATGACGTCGATAATTGCATTGCAAATGAAAGTTACTTTGGAAGATCCAAGCTCTTTGGTGAAACGACACCTTCTTCAAGGACGATTCCTTGAAACTTTAGAAGAAACAAACTTCAAAGCAATTTCTTTCACTGGTAAGAATAACGTCTCTTTCTCGTTCCTCTTCTTCCTTCTTTTTTCTTCCTTTTATTTTATTTATTTTCTTCTTTTTCTTTTTTTTTTTTTGGTTTTTTTTTTGTTGACCGCGAAGATAAGAAAACACTTCTCTCTTATGCAATCACTGTCGCAAGAAAAGCGCATTAGTTCGCCATAACTTTTGATAGAAATAAATTTTTCAATTCTCTTTTAAGTTCTTTATAATTCACCAACTTATTTAAATGTTTGCTTATGTGTGTCGATATAAATCGATATAAAGTTTTTCAAACTATAACAAAAATTTGATTGAAATAAATCTAATTAAATTTGACATAAACAGACATTTTGAGTTGCGTATAATACAAGGTTAAATTGAACCTGTTTGGTATTTTTTAATAAAGGCTACATAGTACAAGTTCAAAATAGTACAAGCTACATGTGCAAAGTTTTAAAATCTCAACATTCATTGACGTAAAGTTTGAAATTTCGTAAAATCTGAAAGAAAGAGGAAAAGGAAGGGATAGAGATAAAGATAGAGAAAGAGGGATAGAGAGACAAAGAGAGAAATATTTATGGTCGATTTACATTTAGAGGTATTAAACGTTTCTTTCGGATGAACTATTCTTTCACAAGTATCTTCCCTCTTACGTCACGTGATCAGTCCAATGAATGGCCGCAAGCGATACGAGCAATGCAATTAAGGATCCATCGAGCCGCGGCCAATATTCCTCCTCGATCAACGCATACATATCGAGTTACTATGATTTACAAGGATCCCTGAGCGTATCCTTTGATATCATTCGTGAATTTTTTATGATCCTTTTAAAGGTTCCATAATCAAACATTGGTTACTTCATTTGAATAAATGATCCATCTACGTGAATCTAAATGGCTAGAAACGAGCCTTCTTTTTTTCATTTCGAAACAATTCGATATCGTGAAATAACTTTGAAAATATTTTAAAAACATGATAAACGTCATTTAGATAGATCGAAGGATTCTATTTTTTTTTTTTTTTTACTTATCTATTAATTATTACAGCTAAATACTCAAATCGATTTTCATTCAATTACGTACGATTATTTAGAATAAACAAATGAAAAAGAAAAACATTTTATTAGAAAAATATTTCAATTCGTCCAATGAAAATCTCCAATAACGTTAATAATTTCGTTAAAAATTGTATCAGATATTTGTACTTGTGTGGTCGATTTAAATAAAATATTTTATTTCTAAATAAAATTTTCTTTTTTTCTTTTTTTTGTTTTTTCTTTTTTATCTTGTTCAATTTTGAGAGCAACTTTTTTTTTTTTAACGAAGAGATCAGAGGTTTCAACGATAAATATTATTTTCGTTAACAAAAAATAATTTTTGTTATTGACGAAATAAGCGCGTTCGTAAGAAATTTTGATGGGGCAGAAGAGAAATGAGAGGGTGAGAAAACGACAATGAAAATAACGCATCCCATCGAGTGAATCCCACGTTAATACCATTGAACAAGGGACCTTGGCGTCTCGTCAATACTGTCGTGGTGTTTACCGAGCCAATAAAGACCGAGGAACAATGCACGCTACAGTAAATATCCATGCCGTTCCCCCGTTACGCAAATGCATCCCTGCCAAACTACTATTACTACTATACGAGCTATTAATGGTTTCGCTTGCGGCTAGATTCCTCTTATTCAGCCACTGGTGAACCTGGTTCAATGGTTAGTTAGCTATCTAGCATATACATATATATATATATATATATATATATATATATATATATATAATATATATATATATCGTATACGAAACTTCCTATCTCCCGTGAATCGGAGCGTAAAAAAATAATGAAGGAAATGGTGTAATCAACGGAACGCGTTAGAAGACCGTAAAAATGTAGAGTTTCGCGTTGCCTTTAGTTTACCTTGTACTGTCAGGACGAGATAGAAGAAAAAGAGTTGATAAATTCGATTCGCAAGTTGCTTTCGACGTTTTTCTTGATAGGATCGAATGAAATAGCAAGACGAGACTTTATTCTCTCTCTCTCTCTCTCTCTTCTCCTTTTTTCTTTCTTTTTATCTTTCTCTCTTTATCTTTTTTACTATCGACAATCGCGTTAGTTCAGCGGAAAAGCAGATATCGTATATACATATAGAAATACACACTTATACACGTTTATATAAAAACGTTCATTGTATAGACGTTTCGATTAGTAGATAGGAGAAGAGATAGATAAAGATAGAAATACAGATAAAGAGCAGCTTTTCGTAATATCACTCTCTCTCTCTCTCTCTCTCTCTCTCTCTCTCTCTCTCTCTCTCTCTCTCTCTCTGTGTCATTCTGTTACTTTTGTACTTCAAGGTTCATTCCTTTCGACGTATCATTATTCGTTGTCATTTTTTCATTAGAATATGAGCTAGATGGAAGAAGTGTGGAAACAGGGAAAAAGAGAGAAAGGGAGGGGAGAGAAGGAGGTGGAGAGGGGGTAGAGAGTTTGAAATATTAACGAGTAAGAAAAGATCGATATATTGAAAATAAAATAATGAGCTAGTATTAAAAGAATGGTGAGTAGAATAATTATTAATGAGGAAAGGAAAAGAAGATTCTTGATAGATTGACGAGACAAAGAGGATGATAGAGGATTTTGGTTTATACGGGATGAATTATTAATTTCTTTTTAAAGATTTATTTCGCGTACTCGTCGATCTCCATTTTTTTTTTCTTTTTCTTTCCTTTTTCTCTTTGTTTACTTTTCTATTGTTTTTCTTTTCTTCTTTTTTTTTTTTCTCTTAAACTCGATTGCATGCCGAAGAACATTTTCAATCCTTTTTAATAATATTAACGAATCACTTTGGATGACGAGGGATTAAAAGAATAAAGGATAGAGATAGATATGAGAGTATTCGAAATATGTCCGATAATATATTGTGCATTACTACTGAAATTGAGAAAATCAAATAAATTTGATATTACGATAAAGAGCACAGTGATAGAAATTGTGAAAAAAATAATTATCATGGTAGGTGGATCGAGCTAGTTTTGGCGAGAAATGATAAATCGTTTATAATTACGGATACCGCGATAAATCACGATAATTATCTACTAACGAGGGTGGATCGGTTTTCAAGGGAATAATCGATAAGGCTTCGTCGTCGCGATCACTGTTATTAATTATACGTAGAAAGGGAAAAAAGATAAACGCATATCGTTGGCCGAGTTAATGCACGTCATCTGCATCAACGTGGACATCTAATCATCGAATAATTTTACGACATGTCGTTAATAATGCTTCACGTTATAATAATCAATAACGGTCTCGTTACGTGGTGATAAGCCACCGTGGAAATGCGATTGGTTTGTGTTTGGGTTATCATTTGATAATATGAGAGAAAGAGAGAGAGAAAGAGCTACGATAAAACAAAAAAATAATAAAAAAATAAAAAATCGATTAAACCGAGGAGAACGCATGAAAGTTCGTTTCTTACTTGTTTGTTAATTAACATAATTAACAATCTCTGAATTAACACTAGTTGTGCATATCTCAGAATAATTTCAAGTTGCACTCTTGGGATGCTCTCCTACACTCCAGGCACTTTGAACAGCTGTCATTTATACAGAATGAATAATTTCGAAGGAAATATTGTATATTTTTTGAAGTCTCGTCAATAATAATTGGTAGATTTGAAAGTGCATTTTTAATTCTGTCATTATAAAAAACAAAAAAAAGTTCATGAATCGCAGATTCTTTTAATTGAGCTCAAAATTGGTACGGGGGAAGGGGATGTCGTTCTACACCCCACGTGCATATTTAGGATTAAAAAAGTCGCAGACGTATTCAGCGTGTTTGTACTTGCATTTGAATCCTTTGCATGGCATAATCGAAATATACAATACAATATATTTTGTAATACACAATTTTCATAGACGTCATCACTATAGAGCGACATTCATAATATAAAGTGGAATTAAACGTTACTTCAAAATGATACGATAAATCTTCTCTCTTTTTGTATTTTTTTTTTTTTTCTTTTTTTTTTTTTATTTGAAAAAGAAAAACATTTTTTTTTCTTTTAATATTTGCTAACGTTAACACAGTTGTTGATAGATTATATTTAAAAAAAAATTGACCGAGAGCGCAAAGGTTCAATGTTCTTTGAAAATTCGTGCGATGTTGACATAATAACGTTATATTTTTTGTAAAGTTTAAAGATTATTTACGCTTTGTCATTTTTTTTTAAAATCAATAATTTGATCGGACAATTTAACGAATCTTTTTCGTACAATGCTGAAGTGTTTCTAATAGATCGTTGTTGATATTAATTGTTTTTATTTTTTTTTTTTATTTTTCATTTATTTATTTATTTTTTTTTTCTTTTGTTGTTACAATCCAATCTATGAAGTAGATCGATTGAAAAATAATGTTTTTCTTTGGAAAAGAAATACATTTTTCTATATTATCATGTTGACGAAATGTCATGTGTTATTTTCATTATAGAAAAGTATTCATTTTTGGAACACGTACGAAACACGCTCGCAAGAGGGAAATTTCTCGTGCTTATTTAGTAAGCAAAAGCGATGGAATATATGGTTAATAAAACGATGGAAGCAAGGAAGAACGTTATATACATATATATATATATATATATATATATATATATATATATATATCCTTAAGAAGATCGTATTTCGTTCTTGGCAACAACACCAACATGTATTTCTCTGTCGTCGACAGAATCGTCGATCAAAGTTCCTATTTCACGATACACGATGGCAAGACGTCGAGGCGACAATGATTCCTATTACTCCCAACCTCTCGGAAGAGAAAGTTTAACTCGGCTATTCTTTTCGTAACTCCTCGCGGAATATGCGAACTATGAAACGAGTCCAAACACATGACGAGTTTCCATCTGCAAGATGTTTCCCAACTTAAAGTAAGTAGATATCTGAATTGAAGAAATGATATCACCTGATATATTTTATAGAAAAAGTTTATATGAACGAATGAAAATGTTACTTAAGAGAGTTACTACGGTGTCCTTCTTTTTTTTTTATTTTTTTCTTTTTGATTTTTTTTTAAATTTTTCTTTTTTATACACACACACACACACACACACACACACACATATATATACAATTATTTGAAAGATAATTTTTTCTAAATAGTAAAAAATATTTTTATAGAGGATAATATCGAATTAATACAATTTGTTATTTTGTACTATTTTATATCTTATAAAATAATAAAAATTATTTTATATTATATGTTTGTATTTTGATATAACAAAATGTTAAAATTTTGCAGATATACGTATGAGAGCTATTCACTGTGTAAATATGTGTGTACGTGTGTGTGTGAGAGAGGACATAGTCTAGATCATAAACTACGTCATAGAATCGTCATGGAAACATTTATATTATAGAATCGTTTATAAGAATTAGTAAACATTTCTATTTATTGTTTCTCTTGCTCTTATAACAGAGAAAAAATCGATTAAACCTTCAGTTCGTTTTAAACTCTTGTCTCGTTAATACAAATATTATTTATCGTCTTGAAACATAAAAGTTATAGGATTGTATGATGGAATACAAATTTCATATTATTTCAATTATATATTTAAATTTTTATATTATTTGTTAATTTTTTTTTCTTGTAAATAGTCCAATAAATTTCCATGAAATGGGATAATTCTATCGATTTTAGATACGACAAATCGATTTAGCTGGATTTCGATTTTCGAAAAAACTCATTTAGAGAGGTTAAATAAAATCTGATAAAGTATAAATGTTTTTATCATTATATGAATATGGAAAAGCTAATATACTTAATTCCTCGTCTATTCGTTTTTACATGTAATAAAATAATAATTAGATACAATTTACAAATATATAAAACTTACAAATT